GCCTATTGATTGCTTTGCATTGGTATACTGGTAACACCACATCAGTTCGTTAATTTCTTCATAACTCCAAGGCCTTTTAGTAAGTTGATTTATTCGATTCTCCTTAGAGCGTTGTTCAAGTGATGCTGGGCTCTGACCATGTTCATCAGGGTAACCAGCAGCTCTTTCCGGATGGTTTTCTGTGATCGTTATGGTGTTGAGTCCGGTTTGAAGGGTACTTTGTGTTACTGATCTAGAGGCGTATGTTGCATTTGCCTGTGTTACCACAGCTGCGTAGTCTTGGTTTTGTCCATTCTCGTTCCTTTGTCTATAGCCTAGGGTGCTGTTAATCCGGGAGGATGCGCCACCCATCACACCTTCACTCCCTTCAGGCTGAGCATCACGACGGTTTCCGAAGAAGGGACCAGCCTCAATCACCTTCCCGCCTCGTAGTTTCGTCTTACTTCTCGTATTCATTTACAGTAATTATTTTTCACATTGCCTCCGAACAATGGTGCAGCTCAGGGTTTGGCAGAATAAGAAGACTACCAAATCCCGAACTCCCCCGTCTAGGGCCGTGGGGGCGACGCTCCCCATGTACCTTCCCTTAAGCCCGGGTCGTAGACCCGACCTTAAAAGTAGATACCCCCTGCGGGGTTATTATTATTATTATTATTATTATTATTATTATTATTATTATTATTATTATTATTATTATTATTATTATTATTATTATTATTATTATTATTATTATTATTATTATTATTATTATTATTATTATTATTATTATTATTATTATTAGTATTATTATTATTATTATTATTATTATTATTATTATTATTATTATTATTATTATTATTATTATTATTATTATTATTATTATTATTATTATTATTATTTTTTATAGCCGTAGGGCTTTGTTACTCCCGTTAATCGGGGTGTTCTGGCTTAACCCGGACGTTTCAAGCATCAAAGGGGTAAGCCTCAATAGTGACCTCCCTAGGTACTTGCATTTCCCATAAATTTTCTTACTATGCGGGCAGTTGCCAGCAAAACTCCTTTCTGTATGATTTTGTAAATGTTTTCACTCAGTTCCAGCGCTTTGATGTTTTCTAGCAGCCTTCTTGGTATCACCCCTGTAGATGACATTATTATTGGTATTGTTTCCACGTACTTCATTTTCCACTGGCGTTTAATTTGAAATTCTAGCTCCCTGTATTTTGCAACTTTCTCATTATGCTTGTATGTTAAATTGTTACTATTAGGTATGGCCACATCAATCAGAGTTACTTTCTGGGCGCCCTTGTCGACAATGATTATGTCAGGTCTGTTTTGTTTTATGTATTGGTCCGTAAGCACAGTGCGATCCCAGTATAGTTTATACTTGTCGTTCTCGAGGACACATTGCGGTGTATATTTGTAGTACTGTAGCTTGCATTCGATCAGTTTGAATTTGTATGCCAACTCCTGGTGAATGATTTTGGCAGCTATGTCGTGGCGCTCCTTATAGTCCGTTGGAGCGAATGCTTGGCATCCACCAGTTACGTGCTGTATTGTTTCGGAGTCCTGACAGCCGTACCTGCATTTATCAGACTGTTGCAAGTTCTTAAGTATGCACCTCTTGTAATTGTTGGTAGGGATGACCTGATCCTGTATAGCTACAAGGAATCCCTCAGTCTCAGGGAACATTTGGCCTGAGGTAAGCCAATAGTTTGACGCTTTCTTGTCAACGTTTTCTTGGCTAATCTCGTTGGCATGTCTTCCATGTAGAGGTTTTTCAATCCATCGTTGTAGCTTCTGTTCGTTGGTTTGGTGACTCGGTTGGTCATCTCGTCTACTAAGGTGTAAGGGCGTTGTGTCATCTATTGAGCATATGATGCGATGCAGCTCAGAGATCTCGGTCTTCTCAAAGAAGTAGGATCGCAAGGCGAGTACCTGTTGAGCTAGCTGCTTGCTGATGTCCATTAGACCTCTTCCTCCTAACTGTCGGGGTAAGGTTGTGCGCTCTATTGCACTGCGAGGATGGTGCGCTCCTTTTTTTTTTAGCATAGTCCTTACCCGCCTCTCTAGTTTCTCGATGTCAGTTTTACTCCACAGAACTATACCGAACGAGTAGTTCAAGGCAGAGCATGCGTAGGTGTTAATCGCCTTGACTAGATTCTTACTATTGAGTTCTGTTTTCAGAAGTAGCCGTATTCTTTTTGTGAAGGACTGCGATATAGCTTCCTTCATTTTTTTATGGTCTATCCTTCGGGCCTGCGCCATTCCAAGGTACTTGTATGTGTCATTTGCGTCCATTGCGTCAATGTTTTGGCCTCTGCAGCTTGAAAATCCTCCAGGGTAGATGTTCCCCCTACGTATAGATAAGGTTTTGCATTTATCCATCCCAAATCGCATACTTATGTCATCTGAGAACTGACCGACTATCTCTAGCAGCTGTTTCATTTGATTCTCAGTAGCAGCTATTACCTTTAGGTCGTCCATATACAGCAAGTGGTTCAGTTTTATGGATGCGTTCCTGTTACCTTTCAGACTATATCCATACCCTGTTGCATTTAAGAGGTTTGAGAGGGGATTTATAGCTAGGCAAAACCATAGGGGACTTAATGAATCACCCTGAAAGAGACCTCTTCGGATAGAGATCGTCTCAGTTTGAATGGTGCTGGTCCCGTTTGTATACAGTGTTATTCTGGTTCTCCAGGTCTTCAGCATATGTTCTAATAGGGCCACTACATGCTCATCTACCTTATAGAGCCTCAACACCCTGACAAGCCACTCATGAGGTACAGAATTGTATGCCTTCTGATAGTCGATGTACATAATGTATAGGTTCCTTTGTTGGTATAGGCTTGGTTACAGATGACTGAATCGATAGCCAGCTGTTCTTTGCATCCCATAGCTCCCTTAGCACAGCCTTTTTGTTGTGGCGCAATAATATCGTTTTCTTCACAATGAGCATAAATTCGCTTCGATATACAAGCAGTGACCACCTTGTATAGCGTAGGAAGGCAGGTAATTGGGCGGTATTTTGCTGGGTCTTCTGTATTATTGAGATCTTTTGGTATTAATACCGTTAGCCCTTGTGTTAGGAACGTTGGAGTCTTATTTGGATTCAAAAGCATGTCATTGATATATCTTGTTAGTTGTTCATGCATGCACCAAAGCTTCTTTATCCAGTAGCCATGAATCTGGTCTGGGCCCGGGCCTTCCAATTATGCAACTGCTTAACGATATCCACGATTTCTTGTTTGGTATATGCCCTATACTGCATGGGATTGCAATAATGGCTCTTCGCTTCTTCATCTGTAATCCATCCTGCACACTTGTTGTAATAAGCTGTCGAGCCAAACTGCTTGCCCCAAAATTCCTCTACTTGGTCCTTTGTGGGCACCGTTTTGCTCTTTCCTGGGGTTCGGATGACAGTTTCCTGTAGAATGCCTTTTCGGATCGTTGAAAGAGCGCATTGTCGTGCTTTCTGTGACTGGACGCTTTATACCTTTTCAATCGCTGAGTATATACGGACAGTTTTTGCTTCAAGGTATCAAGGCATTGCCACTCGTTGATGTTAGTTGCGTCTTGGTGAGAATGATGGTGGAGTCGTTGCATTATTTCCATAGCTTGTTTCGGACTTTTGGAGTTGTTATTCCTCGTGTGAATTGGGTAAGACGTCCGATATCTCTGCGAATGTCTGCCGTTCTTCTTTCCAGACGTTTTTCCCATTTTGGTGTTATTGGTTTTACTGAATTTTCAGTAATCTTTTGAGTTGGCATTTTGACACCAAGTGTTCTTACTGTTGCAACAGCTGCACAGTATATCAGTGTGTGAAGTTGTTCTATACAGTTGGAGTGTGCTAGATACTCTGGCAGGATCTGTTTATTTAACTGACACAATACCACAGCAAGCTTTCTAGATGACTTCAACTTTGGTAATGGTGGTCTTTCTAGCGGGTTCGTTCCATCAAATTCGGCATATGCTCTACCCATTTCAGTTATTAATATACCAAATATTTCTGTGTCTTGACCATTACTGTCGTCAACTCCAGGCTGTTCACTTTCTATCTGTTCTTGCTCAGATTGACCATTATCGCGTATTTCGTTATTACTCCCTTCTTGTTGCATAAGATCAAGCTGCACTTCATGTTTGATGGCATTCAGTCTTGGTTGTGGGATAAGATTATTTTGATTATCACTCGATATTGGTCTGCCACTCTCTGCTCAGATACTTTGATCTCCGGATATTCACTACAGAAAGCGGTATGAAGTCGTGGTCTGTAGCCGATTGTTTCTCTACCTAGGTTGGTAACTTTGTAGAAGATTCGCATGATTGACTCATTCATGGACACCGTCCACTTTATACGTCTTCTAGGGAGACCTGCTTGAGTGAGCACTGGCTGAGATTCCTGTGCAGCACTTTCGGCAGCGGTGGCACTAGTTGTTGTTTGGCTACCACTTTGTTGGGGGCTGTTGCTTCTTGGACGACAGGGGCCCGCCTCCTCAGCACCCTGCACCGACGTCCCGCATGCTGTCATATCCAGCGCCGGCTCCAGATATGCCCTGACGATCACCCTCAGGCAGCGACCTTTTTCCGCGGCTATATTCAAAATTCATCTCCATAAAGAAATTATGGGTGTGGCTCTTTTTATACGACTCCATCTAGGAGCCGATATGTACACATTCTGCACATGATATGTTTTCCCTGCACCAGGAGGAAGAGACACAAAAACCCTGGCACACACTGGAGGATCGCTGGCTGTACCGTCTATCCTTGTTGTTGCTACGGTAGCGGGTTTGACACTGCTGGCAACAGTGTCCTAACCGGCCAGACATTATTATTATTATTATTATATTATTATTATTATTATTATTATTATTATTATTATTATTATTATTATTATTATTATTATTATTATTATTATTATTATTATATTATTATTATTATTATTATTATTATTATTATTATTATTATTATTATTATTATTATTATTATTATTATTTGTTTATTTTCCACAGCCCTATCTATTCAACTGGTTCTGTCCATGTGGGCCGGTTTTGGTTGGTCATTTTCATTATGGTACTTCGAAGATGTTACCCACATCCTAACGAAGTCCATTACCTTATAGTGTCTTACGTAATATGGTTGCTGTACCATACAAAGCAATCTCCTGCACGTCTGCTGTCCTGTGCCTTCCTGGTATGAGATTTAGGTTTTCATGTAGATTGTCTGGGATCGTCCCTAATGCACCTAAAATTACGGGAACTATCTTCGTCCTCAGATTCCACATTCTTTGGATTTCAATTGAGAGATCTTTGTATTTCAATTTCTTTTCAGCTTCTTTGTTTACAACGTTTTCATCGTTGGGGACTGAAACATCTATTAGCAGGCAGGTTTTGTCACGTTGGTTTTTGACGATTATGTCTGGGCGGTTCGCGGATATCTCACGATCTGTTTGCACTGGTAAGTCATATATTATGGTAATCTCATCTTTACTAACTACTGGAGTGGGATTGTGATTATACCATTTTTCTTCCACTGCGATCCCAAAGCTTATACAGATGGCATGATGCAAGTATATGCATATTTTATTATGTCGGACCAAGTACTCGTGCTTCGCCAGTTGAGGACAGCCGGATATAAGATGATCTATTGTTTCTGAGTATTGTTTGCACATTCGACATCTATCATTTGCTGTTATTTTGAGGATATGTTTCTCATAATGTCTTGTACGTAGGGCCTGGTCTTGGGCGGCCGTTATCAGGGCCTCTGTTTCACCTTTTACCTTCCCTCTCGTGAGCCACGCAAACGTTTGGCATTCATTAATCCCTGGCCTCTTAATTCTCTTCACGTATTGACCATGAAGCTGCTTTCGTATCCATTTATCCTTCAAGGTCTTCCTTGTCATGGCCTTAATATCTGTAGATAGTAATTCTTCTTCATCCTCGACCGCTTGATTTTCTATTTCGGTAAATGTGTCTTTACAATTTTTATCGCTGACTTGACTACTGACTTTCCAACTCGAGGGTGCCTTTCACATCTCCAAATTTGTCTAACTAACTTATCATTTCTACGGCTTCTTAAATAATTGGCTATGGATACAACTGTATTATCATAAGTCATCTCTAATTGCCTGAGTCCTCTACCTCCTTCTTTACGACTCACATATAGCCTGTCTACATCAGCTCTAGGATGCAGCTGTCCATGAATAGTAAGCATCTTCCTTGTTTTACGATCTAGGTCTGCAATTTCCTTCTGACTCCAATCTATGATTCCAAAACTGTATTCTACTATTGGAACAGCTATACTGTTGATGGCTAGCAGTTTATTTCGTGCTGTTAAGTCTGAACGTAGTACCATCCTAAGCCTTCTTAGATATTCTTTACTGATGGTCTCTTTCATTTCATCATTACACAATTCTGGGTTTTCATAAACTCCAAGATATTTATAGCTTTCTCCAGCATCTAGGTTTTTGATGGTAATATTTGCCTGGACTGTTATGTTTTCCGTTTTTTTCCACTTTTCCGTTCTTTATTGTCGCTTTGGCGCACTTATCTAATCCGAAGTTCATATGAATTGTGCTACTGAAGTCGTGAACTATCTTAATTTGCTCTTCAAGCGCTGTGTCCGAACTCGCGTATAGCTTTAAATCATCCATGTACAGAAGATGTGTTGTTGGCTGCTCATCTTTGAGTAGT